GGAAAAAGCATGTGATGGATAATTGTACTAATATTAAAAGAATAATTGTGAATTTATTTTTAGGATTCAAGGACAGTACAAATTTTATCTAAAAGGAAATTTAATAAAGAAAGTACATATTTTTTTTTTTTTTTTTACAAAAGGAAATTTCTAAATGTATTCAACTGAAATTCTCACATTTTGTGGAAGATAATGTGCGAATGAAAATTATGAATTATTTTTTCATTCACAAATACAAAAGATATATACTAAATTTAATTGTTAGTTAGGACAAATTTGTATATTGGGTTTTCTATTATTCTATTCTCTATTCTATTCTATATTCTATATTTCTATTCTATTTAGTGTTTAAAACAACAGGCTTGATAGCGCTCTGTTTAATGAAAAGGGAAATTTCATTTTTTAAAAAAAGGATATTTCTTAAAAAGTTATGATTATCATAAGTTTTCAATATTATAATGTGCAAATATTGCATTAACACCCAGAAAGTTGGGTATTATCTGAGCCATTACTTTCAGTTAGCTTATTACTATGGAATAAGCTAACCTTAATTACCTTAACATTTGAAAAATATTTTAGTGAATAGTATTGCCGCATTGTTCAATTTTATGGTATAAATTTTTTAGTCAATTTTTATTAGGTTGTGTATGAATCGCCGTGAAATAAAACAAAATTTTGGGAATATTTAATTTAGTTTAATGGTAAATTTTCTCATTTGGAGAATTTTATCTCTCGAGTTTAAATTTATTTTTATGAAATACAGCTATTTACATTTATTTTTATACAAAGTAATTATATGATGTTGGATTAAGTCAATCATCCATTAGCGATTTAATAGTGCACCTTAAATAATTTCATAGAATCTATAGCGTTCAATATCATACCAATATTGTTTATCATATCTAATTATTAGTATATTCTCTTGATCTTTTCTTACATTTTCCATGCAAAATGATTTGTTTCATGTTAACATATTAATTAAACCCTGTTGTAACATGCAGGTATAAATAACTCTAATATTTTCCTCTTCAACATTTCATTTGTTTTCCATTATGTACAACATTAACTCCTCATCCCTACGGAATATTTTCTTAAATGCATGAAAATTTTTTTATCTTGTTGATGTAACTTTTCTAATCAATACTAAAGTAGCTACATATATACATATAAGGGAAAAGATACCGCAGTTTAAATAAATAACATTAACAAGTATTAAACCTCTTGTATTATTTTACTTTTTTATTTGATTTAATCCTATACATACATACGGCATTTTTACTGTATGTAAGTAAAACGAAATGGAATTCAATATCTTTGATTATAAAAACTAAAATAAAGATTTTGATTTGTTTAATCCAATAAGAACATAAAGGAAATAGAAAATAATGCATTTCGAATGGCGTTTTATTTGTATTTTAATTATAAAATAACTTTTCCCATTCCTTCATATTATTATCACATTAAATTCGCATATATATGTATTCCGTTTTATTATATCTACTCCTTCTTTTTAAATCTGAAAATCTTTACCATATTTAACTTCATTTCAATATTGATTTTGAGAAACTACCACTTTTTATTTAATTATATATTTCAATATCTGGAAAATTCCTAATGTGAAGTAGGGAAACGCATACATAATATAGGGAAAAGTTAAAATACTAAGTTTATTAAAGGAATTATATATTGTGTTGTCGCCGAGAAGCTTTACAAAGAAACTACTAATATATTTTGATTGCGGAACTTTTTCAAACATTCTGTTTTGATCTTTTGTAAGTACGGGTAGGTAGGTGTGCCATACGAAAATATGGTTTTTTTTTTTTTTTTGTTTATTATATATACTTTTAGAGTCACTTGTGTGAAAACTAAGATTACAAAACACTGCAAAACTATTAATTTAAGTATGTTTAATATTTTAATAAATATTCAATCGAATTTTCATAGTCTGCAGAACTTTTTTGTGGTATTGACATTTATAGCGTTGATATTAATGTTTGTGTATTACTGAGTTTTAAAAATGCATTGTCCAACTTAAATTTTGAGAATATTATTGCTTTTCGATTCTCTTACTCTTTGTACTCCAAACTCTTTAACTTATTTTACAGTAAAATTGTAAAATTTGACTGTAAAATAAAGTTAATTTAATTTAACAAAATTGTAATAGCTACCACTATAGAGCTAATCCATTATGACTTTAATGTTATATTTTTTAAATAAAAATACTAATAATTAAAATTTTGCTTAATTTTTATGTACTTTTACTGTATGTAAAACAGCCCAATGCTGTGTACAAAATTTACAAATAAATTGTTTTATGGAGTTTCTCACCTTTACCAATTTCTCAACGGAATAGCGGAATGGAATTGGGGTTGTAAAAAAGTGGTAACAATACAAAAAAATAAAAGGGAAAAATCAGAAAAACAAAAAAAAAATTCTTTTACATTTCATTTCGGAAAATTTGCTTTTTTCTTGCTTTAAAAAATTTTTTTGTTAAAAGTTTCGATACCTACTATAATTTTTAACAATTGCTGCTTTGTTATAGGCGATTTTAACTTGTATAACACAAGTTAAGTTTATTGTTGTAAAAGAAGAAAAACTTTTTATGTTTTTGTATTATTCGTTTGTTTTGCTTTTCTCCTTTTTTCACTTCTTCGAACGTCAATTGTAAAAATTGTGCTAAAAAATCAGTTTATTTTATACGAGTACAATTTTTGCAATGTACAAAAGCATATATATAGGGAGAAATAGGGGAATTAAGGAAGAATGAGTTTTAGGAGAATTAACAAGGGAATTACAACTTCATAGAGGAAGAGTTTTTCAAAGTTAATTTCTTCAATATATTTTATTTTTCTCTCTTTGATTGTGTTGCTTTTATATATTGTAATTATACATAATATTGACTATGCGGTATGCAGACAGTTAACATACATATGTAGACACATAAACGTATTATATAAGAAATTTTTTTTTATAAAAATGCTATGTTGTTATTAAATAGGGGCTTCTTTCATTTATCCTATAAGTATTAATCAAGTTTAATCAAAGCTTATATAAATAAAAGCGACAACAATGGTGATAGTGAAAAACAACACCTTACAAAGTTTTATTTTTTGTTTTGTTATTCCTTTTTGGTAGGGTATGAGGTCATTATTGAAAATGGAATGTAAAAAGAATTGGTCTAAAGTTGAAAATAATACTATATATACATATAATATTTATCTATATATATATGTAGTTATTAAAGAAAAGGACAAAATAAATTAAAGTAAAGGTAAATAAGAATAAACAACTAATAAAAAAAAGTTCATTATTTGTTTTACAATAAGTGGCACGCAAAAAATATAAAATCAATTTAAATTACTACTCTGTAGACTACTATAAAATGGATGAGCAATAGAACTTATTGTTCACGGGCCGTCTGTCAGACACAGAAAAATGTTTTCAGCATTCAGAATTATAAAGTTTTAAGTGTGTTTTTCAAGTTATTTTAAGATTTTCAATTTTGATTTGTTTAAATTGAAAATTTAAAACTATGGGTAAAAATCATTTTAAAAAATCAGCTGTAATTATAACAAATTTGTTTCTGTCATAATGAACATAATATGTATGTAATTAAACATTATTGTCTATATTAGATTTATTACTGGTTATAATTTTGAAATGTTTCCTTCAAAAAAATTTCAACAATCAGAGCAAAAATGAAATTTAAGCGGCCCGCACCTTACTTTACTGTTTTACTCTTCATATTTTATCTTTCTTTTTGGTTCCCTAAAGGCAAAGAAATACTTATAAAGGCAGAGTATCTAGGTAGAGCAAACAGGAACATAAGTACAATAGGATGAATACTCGAACATAGATAATAGATTTTTCAAGAAAATATAAATATTTAAATGTTTAATTTGGTACGATTAAAAATGCTAGAAATAATTTTACACTTTAAATGATCATTGCATACTTGTAACATAGAAGAAGAGAAATTTTGGTAATTTATATTAAATACCAGAAAAGATAATAAGAGTATAGAATATTAAAGGAAGTACTACTGATGAATCGTTAATAGAGAAGGAAACAATAACAATGGTAATAACAGTAAAAATAAATTATATCGATTTGAAATATAAGAAAAATGTTATTTTAGAAAGAAAAAGTTGACTAAGAAGTAATCAAGTTTTTGTTTTCTTTGTGTTTTATTAAAAACTTTTCAAAAGAAAGTAAAAAAATGTAAAAAGCATTTGGAAAATAAGGACAATTTTTTAATTTAATTCTTCTATATATACTAGGAAACTGTATATAGAATTTTGAATTTTAAAAAAAAAATGTAATTATACATTTTCGTTTTCTATCAGTAGCCCTGTGACCCAAATATTTCTATGAATGTATATATGCACATATGTGTGTTATTAAGTGTTCATTTGGGAATTGTGTAAATATTGTGAAAAATTAAATTTAAAACAAAAATTTATTGTGTATAAATTTTAAATGTTTGTCAAATTTATCGATAAACTTTTGCTGTTTTACTTTAAACATTTTGCTGTTAATTTCATGTATTTAAGGACGAAAATTTTCGGAATGAATCTCTGTATGAATGCTGATTGTAAATTTGTAGGTTTTGATTTTTAATTTGTTTCTTATCACACTTGCATAAATGTGTTACTATAATCTGTCAATAGTTTTGAGATTAGGGGTATTAAAATATAAGTAATTTTGTTTAATAAACCTCAGATATTCTTTTGCTTTAATTAGTATTGAAAATGAGTTTTAATAGACAAAACATAAATTTGTTATGATGTTCGTTTTGGATAAAGAACTGAATTTTAAATGTTATAAGTACTTTATCAATAGAATCTGTAGAAATTGTACGATTAATGTATTTTAATAGAATAAATAATTATTTAGTGTTTGTTATATAGTGATAGCACAATTATCACGTTAGATAGAGTTATTTAAATACATAAATTTGTAAATTATTACTAAATTTAATCATTACAATTCTATTTTAGCAGTACAAATGTCAAAGTGTGGCTCATAACAGTTACAGATTATAGAGAATCTTACACAGAAGGATCTTACAGATTTTTAGAGGTTGTAAAGATAGAGAAAGGCTAGGCTTTATAGTTATATAGGCTTTATAGTTATAAAAACTATATTAGTTGGTCGATAATTTTCCAGAGGTCTTATAGTGTTATAAAGATTCAATTACTTCTTCAAGGTAACAACCTTTTGAAGACTTATTCAATGAAACTATATTAAAACTCAATTGTTTTAGTATATTTTTTTATTTAAAATTATGTTAATTTAATCTCTTTTTAGTTATTCTTCTGGAGTTACATTGAAAAAGTTGCATCAATCTTGTTTAATTGTTTATATTGCTGTAATTGTTCTGTTCTCGTACATACTGCTTTGAAATATAGATCGATAAGAAGCTTGTATTTTTACACAAATTGAAAATTATTCTAAACATATGCTTAAATTTATGAACTCCTGGCACCAAAAACTTTTTTAATTAAAAAGAGAACCTTTTCTACTTTGTATAAAACACGAGTTTGATACATAAAACAAGCTAAGAAAAAATTTTTCAAATTTTTAGGCAAATTAATTTTAAGTTCAACCATCCTAGTTTATGTATTTTAAAAATTTATGTTTTTTTTTTTTTGTTTTATTTTGTATTTATTTAAATCGCAAATTATAAAAAATTGTCACTATAAATTAAATGTGAAAGTGTGTAGGTAAAACATAATTTTCCTTTCATTATAATTGCATATTTTTGTGCGCTTTTTGCTTTCTTTTACATTGTTTTGATTTGTACAAAAAAAAAGAAAACTTTTCTTTTCATTTACTTGTAAATTTATGATAATTTTAAATTTTTTACTGTTTTTTTTTCCCTAAGCTCATTAATTTGTATTTTTTATCCTATCAAATCTACTATAGGAAAATAAAGGAAAACTGGATAAATAAATTATTTTTCTTTTATTCTTTTTTTTTAATGAATTGTGTCGGTTTTTTTTTGTTTTTGTTGAGTGTATTTAATAAACGCGTCACAAAAATCATAGCGGAAAAAAGTAATTTTCTTAGAAATTTCTTTTTGATGGACAAAGAAATTTTTTTTTCCATTTTGGTGAAAGAAAAACTTTGTTTATCTCGTAATCAGCACGGTAAACATTTAAAAATAAAAATTAAAGAAGCAAAAAAAAAATCATATTTTTTTATATTTTCTTAATGAAAAGCGTTCACAGTAATAATAATTATTATTGTGATGAAAAAGAAAATAATAATCACAGTGCTATGATAATCGAAAGCTAATCCCTTTAGGAAACAAAATTGAAAAGAAATTCGCAAGAGATTGCTTTAAGAGGTTTTTTTTCTTCTTAAAAGAAATGAAATCTGAAATTATTAAAAAAAATTTTTTCTTGCTTTAAATATTAAAAGGATTATTTAAAGGACGTATGAGGAAAAATTTTTATATTGTAATTTTTGTTCAAGAAATTTTGGTATTTCGTTGTTAATTCTGATGGCTGACCATTTTAAATTATAGAACTTTAATTCAAAAATTTATAGGACGTTCAATTAACTCAAAGCCGTGCGTTATTAAATTTGTATAATATTCATTGTAACTAAAATAAATAACATTCGTACAATAATTCGAATAATAATTACATAAAGATTTATACAATTTAATGGATGTCATCAATAACCTTAATTATAGCAAAAAAATATGACAAATAGTGGTTCTTTTTCGGTGTTGTTGAGTTTATTTCAAATTGAATTGCAAATTTGCTAAAAATTCTCTGTTTAACACAATTTACACTATACAGAATAGTTTTCTTAATAATTTTTATAGCTTATTTAGAAGAATATTTATCTAATTTTTATTTTTATTTGTTTGATTATAAGCTTAAATAATTATTTCTGCCAATGGGATAAATTTTAAGTTAATGAGAATTAATTTAAAATTTTTTGATTTTTTTCTTTATTTTCGTATGTTTCTTATTTCCCGTCAAATATTATCAAATCAACCATTATTTTTATCTTCATCATTCTTGTAATAATTCTGTACCAAATAATTCGTCTTATAGTTATCGATTATGCTTAAAAATTAATTCTTGTAATGTAAAAAATTTTTATCATAGTTCCTGGATCAAACTTCAACTTCATTGTATAACAAAAGTCTCCTAACAATAATATGACTCACATTTATTTTAAAATAACAAAAAAAGGATTATGATTTAAATAAAAATATTAATTGAATTTTTCGTTTCACGGAATTTTTTTAATAATATTTTATTTTTATACTTACCTGCAAATTATATATAGATGAAATGACAGTTTTATTTTTTTTTTCAGTTAATTTATTTCACAGCAAAATTGTATTTTAGACAAAAATGAAATCCATGTTCTTTTAGCAGAAAAATGACAAAAAAAATTCTTACCTGGAATAAAAAAAAAATTAAGTAAAGAAAATTAATTTTTTTGGAATTCAAAATGGCATAAGGATTTTTTTATTTTACAATGTAAGAATTATTGACTACATAAAGATAATCACGCATATACGAAATTATTGTGAGACGAGAAAGGGTTGTGAAAGAAGGATAATAGGATTATACACAATAAACTCTAAGAAATTTTTCAAAAATTTTTTTGTTTAATTCAATGCATTTTAAATTATCTTTAGGCCAGACTGAGAAAGGGATGAAAACATGCTGAGCAAAAAGTCATACTATATAGGATGTATGTTTATATTTCAAAACTCAATTCCTTAGTGTTTCAAACGAACTCATGTCGTACTTTGATTTCTCAGTATTTTAGTGGGTGAAGTAGTGAATATATAATACATTTGCATAACACTTTCGAACTGTTCTAAAGGTTTGGGAATGAAAACTAATATTTTGTTGAATATTCAATCACATGAATTAATATTATTGCATATTATTTAAATGTTTATTGGAGGACGTAATAAGAATATTTTGTCAGTATTGAGTATTATACTCGTAATGTTAGCTAAATGAAGCATTAAGATAATCAAAAAAATATTTCAATAACAACTTTTATTTACAATTTCGAAGTACAGAAGAAGAAGAATTTGCATTTCATTAACGTGACACTGATATCACAATAGAAGCGTTTAGATATAGATGCCTCACATAACGTAAATTTCCCATTATTATAGTGTCTATACGATAAATTAAGTAATTTTTAATTTGCTTTATTAATGAATTTATATAAATCTTTTCTAATATTAATTTAACTATACAGACAATTATTTCATTTTAACGTTAACAAACTTATTCTCGAATTAATTTTCTAGGAAGTGGAATATTTAATAAAACAATAAAAAAATAGGTGAGAGGAATAAAATTGAATGATAAAAAGTAGAATCGGAAATTGTCAGTTTCTATTCATAATTAAATTTGAATAAAGTCAATTTATTTTTGATATTTAATTAAATTCCTTTACACTATATAAATTTTGTAAAATTAATGGAAGTTGATTCTTTTGTTATAATAAACTCTTGTAGTAATGTGGATTAATGATTATGAAATCAAGAAAAGGATGTAAAATATTGAAGATAAATAATTAAGGACTGGCTGATTAAAGGAATAATGAAAAAGAATTTTAGGAAATAGATTTCATTAATTGCGATTTTTGGAAGTAAAAGTTAAAACTTACGTACTATGGGAAATCTTTGCGTACATATAATTTCACGTTTTTTAGTTAAGTTGTGGTGGTATGAATATATTTCAGAAGTTGAGGCCTTTTGGATTTTTCAATATAGAATTTTATTGTTTTAATCCCTTTAGAACCGAAGAAGATATCGTTTTCAATCAAAATTTTAAAGTTCTAATCACTCTTAAAAAAAAACCCAATTAATTTTCTAAAATTTCTGGCTTTCCATCCTTGTTTTTTCGTACCGTTTTTCCTATTCATATTTCAATGATAATTCTCTAATTTAGTCGTTAGATTTTTCCAAACAGAATTCCCTCTCTCATGTTTCTGATTTTAGATCAACACTTTTAAAAATTTTTATGATACCAAAGGTTAATGACATTAAATTCTTCAACAAAAATAAATTGTTAAAAATGTTTTTTTTTTGTATAAATTATTAATATTAAAAATAACTTATAATAAAATTGTGTAATAATTTTTAACCAGGTAAATGATTACCTGATTACAAATTATATTTTTCTTTTCCTGAATTTAATTGTTATGATCAAGTAATAAAAATTATTTGTGACATTACAGGAAATAATTTCATATCAGTACAAAAATAACGTTCATATGTTTCATATGTAATATTTTTAATAAATTATTAAAAGTATTAAAAATAATGTTGAAATCAAAAATATTTTCATTTTATGAACTTTATATTTAAGTGAGCAAAAATATACTTTGATTCATAAAATTTTAAATGTACTTAGTGCTAGTTTCTAGGTATCCGTAAAAAAAAACGAATTCTACTAGAGAAATAGCAAGTGCAATTAGTTTTAGGAAATGGAATTTTGGGAATCATACATATTGAGTATACTAACTCTTTATGTAATATGAAAAGTGCAGTCTTCATGACCAGCAATAGGTTATGATTCCTTTCGAATGAACTACTTTTATATTACTAAATTGCATTTCATTTTGATATGAATTACTCGTCTATCATCTACTCTGTTATGCCTCTATGTTCCTTCACCTTAGTGGTAATCCAAAAATCAATCCAATATGATTCACATTTCGAAAATTAATGTACTTTTTTGAATTTTTTTAAAAGTCGAATAATAACTGTCTACTCTAATAAAAGTATATAATAATTATAGCAATGTTTGATTTCTTAAAGAAAACATATTACCTTACCATAAAGTTAAAAATCACCTAGAATAGACACGGTACTATCATAATGAGTACACAGCTACAATAGTTAAAAATTCAAATAATATATAAATATAAAGCATTTTTAAAATGAATCCTATTAGCACATATTTCACATTTACACATATACATAAATATGTATATACATTATGGTTAAATTTACATTATCTTTATTACAACCGAACTCATTATATAAAAAACATTTTATGCACACATTACGCTCATATAGGTTTGCACGAATACACACATCTATGTCAATTCATTGCATATAATACTCACATATTATTATGTTTTAAGAGATAATTTTAAAAATAACGGTTCTCTATTGCAGTAAAAACAAAAAAAAAAATGGAGGAAAACTGTTGAAATTTGCATAATTTATTCTGAAGGAGCTTTTAACGTGATTGCATGCTTTGCATAATTTTTTCCAATATCCTCTATGTTGCGTTTACGAGTATTCCTATATCCTTTTTTTCGTTGTTGTCCTTCTGAATTTTATGTGAATGTATATGTGAAAATGATATGAATATCGTTGACATTTAATTTATTCTTATTTTTTTAATTTTTATGTATTGTTTCATTTTTTTTTATTAAATGATGACATTAAATAAATTTACACAAACATTTTACTAACGCGTACAACATGGATAAAAAATTAATTCGAGGAAAACAGAATAGGAGCAGAAAAATT